TTCCTCTCACATATTTATACATGGCTATCATGTCTCCTCTCAGCCTTCTCTTCTTCAGGCTAAACATGCTCATCTCTTTAAGCCGCTCTTCATAGGGCTTGTTCTCCAGACCCTCCTCTGGACATATTCCAGTTTGTCAATATCTCTCTTCAAAGCCTTGCTGCTTCCCGCCTGAGGGATCCTTTGTTGGGAGGTGTTAACTGTCTGGAGTCCCCCTGCCGTGATTTTAGATTTTTTTTAAATACTGGTAGCCAGATTTTGTTCATTTTCACAGGTTTCTTCTTTCATTCCTCCCCCCTTTCTGTTTTCTTTCCTTCCTTCTCCTATCTTTGCCTTTCTTCCATCCCCATTTCTCTCTTTCTTTCCTTCCTCTGTTGATTCTCTACTTTCTTTGATTTGGTCTCGTCCCCCCTCCCTTCCTTTCCCTCATACACCTTTCTTCCCCTTCTTTCTCCATTCCCATCTCTGCCTTTCTCGCTTCTTCACGTCACCACTCTGGCCCTCATACACTTCCATTTATTATTTCTCCTTCTGAGGTAGTCTATCTATATACTGCATTATATTTTAAGGCTCTGTCCCCAAAAGGGACCCTTTTTAAATTTGAAACCCTGCGAGTATTTTAAGTTGGATAATGAAGGATATATATGCCATGCTTGGCCCAGATCCATCAAGCCATATAGGAGCCTTTGTGGTATAAATCAACCTACCAACAAAAATAAATAGGATTCTGAGAAATCAAACCCCTGAATGATGAAATTTATATAAAAAAATTATAGAATACAAACCGGGGCACCCATGCCTCAAGCCAGTTTCACCTATTGAGATGAGCACCATCCCCAAGTATCCATTGTGTACACTATTGTATTAACAAGAGCCAGCCCATTAAACCCATCAAAGATTCATTACATATTATTGCACTACATTCCTTTCAAAATGAGCTCCTTTTGGAGGCGGACTGTTATGCGAGTTTATTGAATTTTCTGCCCTACAAAGAGCCAATCAGAGAAGATGTCTGATGTTCATTGCCAAGGCTCAGATCCTAGCCAGACAGTTTTTCAGCCCATCAGAAGCTGGCGCAGGTTTCTTGATTGGCTATCAAATGAAACAAAAATGCTCTATACTAGTAACTGCGGTATGTCAGTACTTTGGAGTGCTTTCTTTGCTGACATCCTCTCTAACCAGTGAGAATGAATACTTCTGATTTTGCCTTTGAATCCGCCTGAGTCTTATTTGGCCTTCTGGACAAGCTAGACATGCCAGGCTTCCAAACCCGAATATCTTGCAGTAGCTGAAGTCACTAAACACTTTTCTATATAGGGATAAGGAGATATCTTGGACATGGGCCAGAGTTTCAAATACACCTTATACAAA